AAATGCTTTTGTAAATGAAGCAAAAAATTTAATTAGGTATTCGCACTTATTAGATGAACCTAAATTATCTATTATGCAATACATGCTTTGTAAGTATTCAAGAATAACATTAGGAATTTTAATAGCATAGGATATTAGTTTTCTTCAATTTCATTATGATCTTTCAATTTCATCATAATTAAGGATTATTTTTATTACATAATATTTTAATGTTACATTCTTGGCTAAAGAGACATAAGAAGTTTTCTATGGCATATAAAAATGTAAATATTCAGTCACAACCGGTTTGGCTGAGTGGATAGAGTGTCGGCCTGCGGACTCAAGGGTCCCAGGTTCGATTCCGGTCAAGGGCATGTACCTTGGTTTCGGGCGCATCCCCAGTAGGGAGTGTGCAGGAGGCAGCTGATCAATGTTCTCTCTCATCGATGTTTCTAACTCTCTGTCCCTCTCCCTTCCTCTCTGTAGGAAACCAATAAAATATATTTAAAAAAATGTAAATATTCATTATTTCATTCCATCTCTAATATGAAGTTCAACATGAAAAAATGTTTAAATAATTTAGTAGAAAAAGCTTTGTTTCACTTGAGAAACTTGATATAATTCTTCGTTTAGATAAGAACTCTACTATATAAATGAATTTCCCTTTTTATCCTGCCAACCAGGAAGCTCAGAGGCAAATTTTAAGGTCAGTCACACTAATTTTTACTAGTATGTCGACATACTTATCCCCGTGTTCTTAATTTATATTTTACTATATCATTGTCTATGTCTTAAAGGTTGCCTCTAATCATTTAAAGAAAGAGGAAGAGTTAAAATAACCAGGTTCCATTATGTCTGCAGAGCTCTAGAGCCACAGTGCTCACTTCTTGCCATGACTGTCTCCTGCACACATTATGCTCACTCATCCGGAGCGATGCTTTCAAATGCTTGGGCGGCCCCGCCGCTTTGCTCCGCGGATAGAGCGCGGCCTGCGGGCCGAAGGGTCCCGGGTTCCATTAGGTCAAGGGCACGCGCCTGGGTTGCGGGATCGATCCCCACCGTGGGGCGTGCAGGAGGCAGCCGATCACTGACTCCCTCTCATCGCTGATGTTTCTCTCTCTCTCTCCCTTCCTCTCTGAAATCAATAAAAATATATTAAAAAAACAAAATTCTCGGGTAAATCAGACTACATTAACTGAAAAGCCTTATAGAAAATACCACCACTAAGAGAGTACACCGGCCTCATTTGCCTCGAGAACAGTCCAATCCAAGATTCAGGTGCAAGTTTACCTTGAAGAAACTGGACTCTCCTCCCAGGGTCTGCGGCTTCACTGCGGACACCTGGCTGCTGCTCACCCTCGGCGGCACGAACAGGGTAAACGGCTTCTGTTTCTCCATCTTCTCTCGTGCGGTTGGTCGGGACGACCTGTTGCCCCAAAGCGGGGAGGGGAGCGGGAGGGGTAACTGTTTCACTGTCTCATTAATATTTTAAAAGGAGAGACTAACCGGGGGACTCGTATGCACATAGGCAGAGCCCACGGGCACAGACAACAGTGTGGGGAAGGCCTGGGAGGGGTGGGTACAGGGAGAGAAGGAGACACCTGTAATACTTTCAACAATACAGATAAATTAAAAATTAACAAATTAAAGGTGACGTTGTATACTCAGGGACCATCTAAAGGAACGGATGGGATTTTCGCTTGTCCCTGCGGGGGTCCGAGCAAACGCACCCGTTTGTTCCCACCCCCTCTTTCCCTCCCTCTCCCCCACCAACGATGACGACGACGACAAGAATTTTCAAGAAACTCGAACACGGCACCACACTGTGACCTGAAAGGAAGGCGGGTTCCGCGTTCCCCGGCCGTTACACCGCCTCGCGGGAAGGGGGGTGGGGGGGGACAGCCTTGGGTTCTCCGCCCGCCACCCAGGAGGCTCGGGAGACCCGCCGCCTGTGTTGGGAGGCGCAGTATCAAAACATGTCCGAGCTCCAGTCCTGGCCTCCACAAAGGAAGTCGGCACACCCGCCCGGTATTAAAGTTCGCGAGGGCCCTCGCCCGCCCGCCACCTAGGAAGGCGGCTGAAAGAACCTACCAGAACGTCGGCCTCGGCCTCCGAACTTCAGAAAAGGCGGGGACACCGCTCCACCTGTTCGGACAGCAGGACGGAGTGATGTGACGAGGCCAGGGGGCGGTTTAACGGTTAAATAACCGTCAATAACGGTCAACCGCGTGAGCACGTGAGCACGCACGGCTGACATCTCGCGAGATTTCCCCTTGGGTCAGTAACCGGTTCTTTCCGGTATTCTGGCGCTCTGTGCAGGTCACGTGCTCTCAACTCCCAGGCACTGTGATGGGTGGGAGCTGAGCGTGGAAAACCCACTTCTGTCCTCGAGGGCTCAGCCTTAGGAAGGAAACGGAAGTACGAACAGTTACAACCTCGTGTCGTCATGGAAAGGTGGTCATGTTTCTGGAGAGGTTAGGACTCAGGGAAGGCGGTGCTCACTGTGGCTTGGGGGGTCCGGAGAGGCCTGGTCACGTGCTACGCTTCTCTTACTGCAGCGGTTCTCAATCTGTGGGTCGCGACCCCTTTGGCGGTCAAACGACCCTTGTAGTCGCCTAAGACCATCCTACATAGAAGATATTTACATTACGATTCATAACAGTAGCAACATTACAGTTATGAAGTAGCAACGAAAATAATTTTATGGTTGGGTCACAACATGAGGAACTGTATTTAAAGGGCCAGAAGGTTGAGAACCACTGTCTTACAGAGTTGGCTAGGTAGGGGACGGGATAAAGAGTATTCCTGATGGAGTCATGAAAGAATATTTGTAAATATGGTGGACATGTAAACCAACATTTTCCCTGTGGATGTAATTTCATAGCCTAATTGAGCCAGTTAAATGAACACGTGGTATGGTTGCGCCTGAAACTCTCTCCTCTGTAAAAAACTATTTTCCTCAAAAAATAAATAAATAAACCATGTGTACGGACTCAAATAAAATAAGAGTATTCGTGGCAGAAGGAAGGTTGGTGAAGGCGCTGGAATTGAGAGAGATGCGTACGAGAGTGAGTCCAAGAAGCGTGTCGGTTGTGAGGACGAAGTGGGAAGACGGCAGGAAATGAGACTGGAGACTTGGCAGATGGGAAGGCCTCGCGGGGCTTGGACCTGAGCCTCCTGAATGGGACCCGGGGAGACTGAGCAGAAAGGGAGGCACGACCAAGTTCAGAGGGAAATGTGTGGAATGCAAATGGCTTAGGCTTGTGAGACTGGAGCTGTAGATCTAGTTTCAGTAGCTGAGTAAGGTGTGAGCTACGACAGTGGTAGGGGAGGTGAAAAGGTGTCAAATATAACAGGAACTGATAGGATGTGATATGATTTTTTAACAGTGAGCAACGAAAGAGAGAAACGTCTGAGGGTGACCCCTGGTTTCAGGCTTGGGAGACCAGACACAATAAATACTGTGTGTTAAGTCCCAGGTGTGAGCAATGAGTTTTTCTAACTTTCTCCATGGATATAAGTGATGCCTTTCCAAAGGATTTCAGTAATTTTTAAATAACCCATTTTTGTTTAAATTTGTATAAATTTACCAGACATACTATTTTCTGCTAAAATTACAAAATGTTGGAGCTGGAAAGGATGTTCAAGTGTTACTCATTTTACATTTTAAAGAAAACTGAGTCTAGGTACCCTAAAAAGGATGAAATATTCCCTCCAAGAAATGATACCAAGAATATGCACAAGGTATACCCCCTAGTAATTGATACACTGAGTAAGATATTTTTAAGTTGAGGGTATAAATTAAATATTCCAAGTTTTACAACAATGAAAAATTCAACTATGGTCTTTTTTTTTAAATTGAAAACCAAAATGCTACCCCCTATTATTAAATTAACTTAATTCACGGTATTTACTTGCATCCAGTCTTTCAAAAGAATAGTGCCACCATAGAATTTCACATGAAATTTATTTTTAATGTATAACCATCCTATTCTTCTCATCCTCACAAGAATGAAAATATTTGTGGAAAGATTTTAAGAACTTCATTTTTTCTACAAAAGGTATTGACAAAACAAATACAAAAATATTGTCTACCAGCATGAGCAGTAAATTGTGCTAAACTTCCCAATATATGTTACAATGTTTTAATGATTTGTCACTATTTTTTTTTCAGTATCTTGCCATCATAAGTTTTTAAATTTGGGCTTATAAAAGATCTCTTTTGAAGACATTAAGAAGAGGAGAAAGTTGAACAAAGCTCTTTTCCTCTTTATAAAATACTGTAACAGGAATAGGTTTAAAATGTTAGTTCCTTATCCATCAATCACATATTACTTAATGAGGTTCACAAACTGCCTTTATTCTGATTACATTGTTTCCCCTAGATAGCCTTTTTCATGTCTATAAGAAATCTACATATTTTTCATTCAATTTTAAACTAAATGAAAAAGTAGTTTCTTCAGGTAATAACTCTACTTAGCGTTATTCCCTCTTGAAGGAAACATACAGTAACAATAACGGTTGCTTCTTTTGAATCCAATATTGAAAAGAATCCCAGATGTCCCTCTAGTGGTGGCCGTGTATTCCACAAAATTGATGAGTCCTGGTGATGTCCATTTTATGGTGCTATATTGGAACTATAGTAATGCCACTCGTGTTTTTCAAATCAGTCATCCTATAATGATACAGTAACCTAGATTTAGGAATTTTAAGGCACACCACATTTTAAAGTTTCAGCAATTTGAATTCAGATTCCATTTCTCAGAGAGTAAACTAGCCAATTTGGGGTCCTTTGTTTTCCAAATGCTAAGTATTTCTGAATGGCTGTGATTGAGTGTCCTCAGTTCCATCAGCCTCCCTATGAGCCGAGCAAAATGCTGTAGGTCTTCTGGATGATAAATTTTTGAATATTTGTACAAAATTTGTAAAATTGGTTCTTGTAAATTTTCCACATGTTGCTTATTTTTAAGGCATGGACGATCTGCAAAACATTGTCATATTTATCTTAATGAATACTAGAAAATTGTAGAAGATAATGAATTTAAAACAAATTGAAAATATTTACAGAATCCTTAATACTAGTATATACCAAATATTATGCTAAGTAAATTACATCTATGCAATGTCAATAAGTTAATTTAAAAACAAGTTTCATTTTTTTAAAAATATATTTTATTGATTTTTTACAGAGAGGAAAGGAGAGGGATAGAGAGCTAGAAACATCAATGAGAGAGAAACATCGATCAGCTGCCTCCTGCACACCCCCTAATGGGGATGTGCCCACAACCAAGGTACATGCCCTTGACCGGAATCGAACCTGGGACCCCTCAGTCCGCAGGCCGACGCTCTAGCCACTGAGCCAAACCGGTCACGGCAACAAGTTTCATTTTTAAAATGTAACAATATCATTAGTACATCAAGTGTCAAGTCCAACTACAGTCCAAAGCTGTCTTGTCATTATTTAGGAAAGAACCAAATTACTGTACAATTTACTTAATATCTTATTTTCAAGGATAAGATGCTTTTTATAGTTTCACTATCATAATAAAATTGTCTTATTCACTTTGCAAAAATTTAATTAATGTTAATACAAACTAAAAACCTCAAAATATACTCTTTTATTAACATCTTACAGTTTAAAATAGTTTAAATTGCCAACAAAATAATTCATATTTAATTTAGATGGCATAAAATTATAAAATGTTCTTATTTTGAAAAGACATCATACTCACAGTTGCATGATATGACTGGGGATAGTCCTTTTCCTCACAGAATGTATATAGATAGATTCAGCAATGGCTTCAGCTTTCCAGATGGAGCAAACGGGGCCTTTCCCCTGTTTATCAGGGAGTAGACGGGCACTTTGCATACCCTTAGGCTCCAGACACTCTGCAGAGCAATTATTCAGCTCTATCTCTTAGACAACTTCCCACCCAGCCCTCTCTTGGGTCAAAAAACGGCAGTTACAAGCTTACATAAATCAAATAATAACCAGATCATCAGGGATAGAAGCCTTTGAGACCTTTAGGTCACATTCTCCCAGAGTTCCTTATTGTTTACTTAATAAATATTTTGTTTTCTTGATTGAATTTGACATTTTCCCATTTTGGTTACAAAACATTGGGCCTCTACAAACTACTAATATACACAGAAAGAAAAACACCTCATTAATTCAAATTCCACTAATACAGGTGCTATAAAAATTCAACTTTTCATTAGCCACAAAAAAAAATTGTTAAAACCAAATAGAAGTGCAAATAACACACAAATCATAAATTGGTACAATGTGAGATGTGTATAAGTCATCTACTCCAATCCTCTCATTTTTTGGCCAAGAAAAACTGCAAAACAAATAGAGACTACTGCTTGTTCAAGTTCTCATGGCTAGCTAGTAGCAGAGATAAACCCAATGAAAAATTCAATGAGTTAACAAATCTATATACAAAATCTATATATAAAAGGCAAGCGACCAGAACGATGGAACGACCAGAATGAACAGTCGCTATGACATGCACTGTGGTGGCCAACCAGCCCAATCAGGGCCCGGATCAGCCCCCCAACCCAACCTCCCATGGCCCCTCC